CAATCATACCGCATTCCTGGTCTCAGCGAGTACATGCAAGATATAATCGATACATTCCGGGCAGCAGGACTAAACAAGATTCCGACGTATGTTTATCCTAGCTATTCAGTGGTCTCTTTGTAATCAAAACTTCCCAGAACTCATAACGACAAGCATGCTTATGGAGAATTTGCGGCCCCTGGACTCGGCCAAGTGGATCTATACGGTTGGGATGGCTACCCTGCGGGTTTCGATTGCATAACCCCGTCCGTCTGGCCAGAATTGGACACCTGTAGGTGCTGTTACCTAAACGAAGCTATCGACATGCTGAATCAAATTAGCACTCTATGCAAGTCGCATGAAGCTCGCACCAGCAGTGCCTATGGCTTTATATGAATGGCAAGGTCAGTATTTAGAACTGAGACTTGCAGAAGGCTCAACCAAAATACAGGTGGCGCATTCGATTATTGGAATGGAAACGGATATGAGATAAAGTATGGCACAGACCAATAAGGGGCCCATTAGGATACTATAGAGAATAAGTCAGACATACAGAGATATATGTTTCAACTCACTTGATAAGGCGCTGAGAGTCGTGCAAATTCCGTGACGCTGCATGCTAAGTAAGCTTCAACCCCCTCGTATTGGATGGCCTTGGGCTTACTAAGGGTGCCAGGCATCCCGATATGCTGTAGCATTGCTAAAACTGGTACATTACCTAACCAGCCTGGAAACCCTCCTATACATGAAGGTGTTTGTTGAGCTCAGCCAGACTCATCAGGAAGTCGAGAATGTACCTCCAGCCGCTTCTGCGTTGATATATGGTCCGGGGCGAGCCTAAACTCTGTAAGAGCCAGGCCATTCGTAATGAATTGTGCTACTGACGATGACAAGTAAGCCAACTTCCTTGGCGACTTCAAGGAACTTGACAATATCGTTATGGTCCGTGAACCGGTTGACACCTTGACGAGGGCTAGTGAGGCCCCAGTGCCCTATTCCTTTGATAAGCAACGTCGAACGAACAGGGTTGAAAAGCGGCGTACAATAGATGGATACTCCATTCAAACCAGCGGCCTGTGAGATTTGCATGAGTAAATTGATTCGGTAGAAATCTTACCCATACCTTATACCTTCCAAGTTTGTCAGTAGAATGCTCTCGACAGAATATTGACTTACTTCTGTAAAACATCTTTCCATAATGCTGGAGAAGGTAGCCGGAAAGGATGAAATTCTCCAGATAGAAAGAGAATGCGCTTCCGACATGTCAGCAAGCGTTGGTACGTCGTTTATATTCTTACCTCATTGTCCAGAAAGAGTGAATATTGGTCAAATGTCACACTAGCAGATGAATTCCCGTGGTAGAAGCCGGCTAATAGTTGAATATTAGAGCGTAACATATCATGAGCATATTGCACAACTTACGAGAGCCAGCAGGAACCACATAACCATTCTGAGCTACCGATTCGAGTATACCCAAAGACAAGAGCAGTGTAACAAAGCGCTTCCCCAAGAACATTCTAACAATGCATTGAGCAATCCTTGCACCAGAATGGCAGGAAGCGAATGAAAGCTCACGTTATGGGCAAGCACGGCTGCGTTAAGGCAAAGATGTACAAATTACCGTACAAAAGTGCACTTATCTCTCTCATTTGGGTTGGAAGAGACGTTATATATAGCCGGACGGCATGTAAGAGTCCTGTTGACCACATGGCTGCTGTGGCGGAATTGGTACAGAAGTCGAGTAGATGATTCGTCGGAGAAACTGGACTAGTATTATATGAGTTTAGCGAGAGTCAGTCTGGGATTCTGTTAGGCCGACTGAACGTAGTCGGAAAGGGGCGTGATGGCCAGAAGAGGAAGTTGCTCCACGAAGGCGGGTCTGAAGATGGCTGCAATTGCGCAAGATTCAACCGCGAAAGTTCGTTCTCGGTATACAAGAACCCTTCTTCATGCACCTCTCGGGAGATTGATTACCACCACTTGAAGCGTTGATCACCT